CGCCCCAAAAAAAGGAATCATAGCAATGGTCTAGCAGTAGGTTTTGGTTTGCTTGCGTCAAAATTGGCCCTTCTCTTAGGGCTGAATTTCTCCAATTACCAAACATGTTTGTGGTGAAAGAATATAGAAAAGGTGACTTGACTAAAAGAATAATTAAGCGTTATTTCTAGACTGCATTTGTTGAGTGAACAGAGCAAGGCTTTGCAAGTAATTGCAGTCCAGGGAGAGGATCTTCTCTGAGACTCACTCTACATATGTTGCGCCTTCCCTGCAGCGTACTTATGACAGAGATGCTCACAGAAGTCCTCCCACCAGGTTCTTCTAAACAGAGTCATTCCACTGTCCTTTCCAGCAGTCCACTCCCCAAGTCCATCTTCTGGCTGTCACCACAGTTTGTGACATCCACTTCCCCTTGGACAACTTTTCTAGGTCACTTATTTCTTCCTTATTTTTGTTGTATAAAATTTTTATTTAATACAACATTGAACAGCAAATAAGCAACCCTGTTGTTACAGTCTAGAGACAGAAGAAGAAAGGGAAAACTATGTTCATATGGTAACTGCACTTTCTTCATGGTTTTGAGCTAGGAGGGGCGGGCCTTCTATTTCCCGTTTGTGCCAGGCCCCACAAATTATTTAGCTGTCTCTGTTCCTCCCCCTATTTTTGAGAAAGAATGGAGAAACACCAGGACTTATCCAAGGAAATGAAAATTAAAAGTTGGCTTCATTTGTCTCATTAATGAGATCTCTGCTCGTGGGTAATTCTTTCCAGTGCCACTTGAAGGGGCAACTGTCTAGGTCTCTTATTTCTAAGACACAGTGACTTAGCTTTAGTTGTAAGTTGAGTTCAGAAGTCAATAAGATTTATTTTCTGCAGGCAGTTTTCAAGGCTGGCATCCTGGGATCTAGCCTTTACAGAGCCTAGAATTTCTCTTGTACTTCAATTTTAGAAGTACAGTCTTTCTGAAATGATTTTTCTGAAAGCAAATTCTTTTCTGACCCTGGCATTTGTGTCTACTCTGTTCCTAGGATCCAGGACTGGGGAACCATGAGACTTAGTAAGCTTGAAACTCTTGGTGGGTGAGATTCTGGACCTCCACTTGTTGCTGTAGCAGTGTTGGGTAACTGTTATGACCCATCACTGTAAAATCAAGGCCTATTTAGTGCTGTCACCATAGAACATTGCTTCTTCTACCAGCCACCCTGGGAAGTCAATATTTAGTACGTTTTGTGAATTAGGCAGAAAGATCAGGCTCTGCCTGGTGCTATTCCAGTGCATTTTATAGAAGCTGGGAGCATCCTGAAAGCCAGAAAGCCAGTTGAGGGAAACTGCTGTTCCTCCCAGCTCTCTCTTCTGTCTTTTGTATTTTTTACACATGCTGATAATATGTACAAATAATGATAATGCATTTCATACAGTGGCCTCCTCACACACCTCATTCCAGACCTGCTTTTTAGTTGTGTGCATTCATCCTCTGCAGTCACTACAGGCACCTGATTCTTGTATACCACCCTTCCATTGTTGACAGGGAAATGGAAATTCTTCCATGTCTGGGATTTTAATGAATTGGACTATTAGAAATAATAATCCTAGGTGCTAGCTCAAAAGACTAGGTTCCCTAAAGTTCAATTAATTATGCACCAAGTGGTAACTTAACTCTTAAAGAATGAGTAGGTGACTAGAGTATGGATCAGGCTTTGCATGGCTGCTGTGCTACTCTGGGTTGCCCTCTATCTTGCCATTGTTTTGTATCTGGGCTCTTTATCCATCAAGCAATGACCATTCACTACATATAAGACTTTTCATTAGTCTGCTCTGATATGTTTTCTCTACTTGCTGTTCCTGAAGTATTATCTATAAGCTAGTCAGCTTTTTGTAACTGTAATGAATACCTGATAAGCCAAGTTTAGAGGGTTCAGTCTCTGACTATAGCCCCTTTGTTTTTTGGCTTGTGGTAGTACACAGTTGTTTACCTCTTGGCTGCCAAGGAGAGAGGAAGAAGAAGGACGGGAGTCCCACTGTCTACTTTAAGGGCATACCTCCAGTGGCCAGGAAGACAAGGTTCATCTCTTCACATTTCCATCACCTTCCAATAGTGTCATTGGTTGGCAACCAAGTCTTTAACTGTTGGGCCTTTGGGGGCATTTCATATCCAAACTATAACAGTCCTAGGATGTTTTGTTAGGAAAACAACCTAAAGAACAGAAACACAGAACCAAACCTTCAAAGGCAGGATATTCACGTGCTCTCAAGTGGAATTGTAAATGTAATTTTGAAAATAATTTGACTGACTAATCAAGTAATGCCATGTAATTATTAGTAGAGCTATTTTTTCTTCTCTATTTGTTTGAAATTATATGCTCTTTTTCCTCTAGGTGATAATCCCAACCCTCTCAAGGAGGACACCCCGACCAGCAGTCAAGACTCACTTTCCTCTCCATCTCCCACGACTTCAGCTGCCCATGGGCCTCCTAGACCAGACAAAAATCACCTTTTGGCAGATGGCGGGAGCTGTGGGGACTGGGCATCTGCTATGTAAGTTGCTGTGCTTCAGTTTGGTGAGGAATTAGGGCCAGCACTGTCTCCTGTTAACCAGCAAGCACTGAATCCATTAGAACCAAGGTCATTTACTCTCTAAGCAGAAGGGCTGCCCAAGGGAGAAGGCCATGAAGCAAAATCTTGGTTGAATAGTGTCTCCTTGTTCCTAATCTGGAATGGGCATGACTTCCCGTCTAGTCTGAGTTCAGTGTGTGGTAGTTTGGGTACTGGAAAGAAAGTTGCCAGCTGTTCCTCTCTGCATGTCTTCTCACTAGTTTTGCAGACATTGAGAGGCAAGCATGTGTGCACTATGATCAGTTGACTCTAGAAGCTGTCTAGAATGGTGTTTCAGGTAGATGAGTCTCTGATAGTGTCGTGCTGGGTTCTGTTTTGTTTCACTCCATAGCACCCTGCATAATGGAGATGTCGGAAACAAATGACATCTAGTTTTATCTCCTGGCTTATTGCCAAGCTTGTGCAGATCAGCTCAGATCTATCAGAACTCATAATACTAATACGAACAGAAAACCATAAACTCGTTTAGCTACGTGGAAGTTATCTTGCACTGTTGATTGAGGTTGAGAAGTCAGTGTAGAGCAGAACTCTGCCGGAACTACAGAGGACATCTGGGTGCTCAGAGAAGACAAAAACAGCTTCACAAATAATTACGGGCCCTTACTTGATTAGTCAATCAAAATACATTTACATTTCTCCCACAGTATTAAATTATTTTTTAAACTAAAGTTGCTTAAAATAGATTATGGATAGTGATGTCATCTGACCCTAACTGGTCATTTGTGGGACTTTAAATGGATTGGAAATGTGTTCCTCACATTACTTGGCTTTTTATAGTTTCAGCTGAATTTGTATGAAGTCATTATGAACTTATTAAATATTAAAAGAGGATGGGAGGAATGTGACATGCTGAAATTTGGGGCGACCTGAAGATACTGCAAAGCTAACCTGAAATCAGAGTGAAACTTCCATGTTTGGAAATGCATTCCCCAGGGGCACTTGTTTTTCCCCAAGATTGTCCTTATTTTATGTGCTGAAGATAAAATCATGAGTACTGAGGTATACTGGTTACCTTTACCACACATCAGCAATAAAATATCCCTTTTACTTCAGTACTATAAGTGACAGTAACATTAGTTACTGTGGTGCCCAGTGTCTGTAATCCAGGCTGCACTCAAGTAAGAATCAGTCTGTGTGTGTTTTCGTGTAAACTAGATCCCTAATTATTTCTTTCAGTAAGTGCATATCACAGTCAGTGGAGAATAGTTTAGTTAGTCATTGCCATCGTGGCTCCACAGGAAAGTGACATTATGAGCCATGGGATGGCCATTGCTCAAGTCACAACACGTCTGGGCCCGCAACTAGAAGAGCTTGATATTTTTGGTCATAAATCAAATGAGGAATGAGTTCCCCAGCTTCCTATTCATACACTTTTGAAAATGTCATGAAAAGTACTCCAACCTTGAGAACCAGAAAGGGAGGGGGTGGGAAACAGTGGAAGGAAGCCTGGAAAGATTTTTGTTGTAATGCAGACTTGTTCCTACTTCAAGATCTTGATTTTTTTTTTCTTTTACTCAGTATGTGGAACATATCTCTGTTTCTCTTTAAGTATGGGAGTGCTTCTGGTATATGCATTAAAGGATTTACTTGGGCCAGGGAGATACCTCAGTTGGTAAAGTGCTTGCTCTGCAAGTATAAAGGACCTGAGTTCAGTACTCAGAACTCACATAAAAAAGCCAGACATTGCAGTGCTGGAAGGCAGAGACAGGAAGATGCAGTGAGCTGGAGCTCACTGACCACTAGTCTAGCCAGTTTGGGTAGTTACAGGCCAGTGAGAGACTATCACAGAAAACAAGGACAGCTCCTGATTTATTTGTCTTTTATCATCTCAGATTTATCCTTGGTATACAGATGAGTGATGTCCGAAAGAACATGCCTCAGAATTGCCTGTAGCTCACTTTAAAACCCACACTCCTCCAGCTGGGGTTGGCTCAGTGGTAGAGCATGTGTTTAGCAGGCAGAGGGTGCTTATTTAAAGAAACTATAAGCCTCCACTGCTCCTAGGCTCCACCCCAGGGCTGATGATTCTGAAGGCTTGAGAAGGGGACTGAAACCTTGCATTTCTAACAAGTTCTCAGGTGATGGTTTGTGAGCTCTGACCTGGAATTCTGGGCCTCTCCCCTCTGAGTCCAGCCTGTGTTGATTACAGATAGATTCTTTGAGGAGTAAATTTAAGATAAGTAGGTTCTTTTTGTTTTGCTGATATGTTTTTAATTGGAACACAGTAGTTGTTTTCTTGTAGTATATAGTGTATATAGTGTAGCATTTCATTTCACAATGTATAATGATCAGTTAGGTTTTTAGCATATCCATCAACTCAACATTTATCATCAGTCAGGAGGTAGAGTTCCAAAGAGTCTATACTGGCTGTTTTACGATGTGCCAGTCAGTTGTTATCCTGCTGTGCTGTAGACCATTGGAGGTTAATCCTTTATGCAGCTGCTTAGTTAATACTCTTCCATCTCCCCACATCTCCAGCCTCTAGTGACGCTGTCCTATCTACTTGTATGGGATCACCATTTTTAGCATTCATATATTATGAGAATATATATTTTTAAAAATGCCTCCTAGGGGGCTGGAGAGATGGCTCAGTGGTTCAAGAGCACTGGCTGGCTCTTGCAGAGAACCTGGGTTCAGTTCCCAGCACCCACATGGTGCCTAACAATTGTTTGTAACTCGAGTTCCAGGGAATCAGACACCCTTTTCTGATCTCTGTGGACATTGCACGTGGACGCACTCGCATATATTCAGGCAGTATTCACATACACATAAAATAAAAATAACAAAATATTTAGTAATGTTCCTAGTGGCCTGTGTGTGCTTCCTGCATACTTGGGTTTTTGTTTCAAATACCCCCTGCCAGGTTTGCTGGAGGCAATCTGCCCTGCCTTCAGTCTAATTTAATCTTTACCTCCAAGAAGCCTTCCCTTGTACTCTAGTCTGGGAGGGAGCCTTGACATACACCTTTCTCTACTGGTACTTGATTTGGCATTGAAGAAATACTGCCTTTAAGTATTAGTTAGTATTTTCCTTTTCGTTTTATTTCACTTTGTGTGGTGTGTACATATCTGTCTAATCTTTACTCTCATGCCAAGCTAGATCATAAAATCCTCAGTAATAGGAAGTGGATCTTATACTCTGTGGGTATTTTTGTGCTTTTGATGTAGTTATTAGTAAATATTTAATTTCCCCATTAATTATTAGGTATTTGTAAAAAGCTTTATTTTATAAACCCTGATTCTTTCTGTATATCATATCACTTGAGCTGTTCCATGTCATTTGTAAGGTGAGTTTGCATTGTATGTGTGTTCCTGTCCTTTGTTCTCTCTCCATTTCTACATACCATCCACACAGTACTGACTGGAGAGGTGCTTACTGAATGCGAAATAAGTTTCTTTTAAACCGAAGTTGCTATGGGGTTCTAAAAACTCAGCTGCAGGCTTTGAGAAGGAGGTACCGCCTGGTTTCCAACCACGGTGTTGACTATACCTTCTGGATAGTGCCTATCCCAGATCTTTATCCCCAGATCCTGGTGATGGAGTCCAACAGATGGATTACATAGGACCCCGTTTGCAGTGTGGTATAGTAATACCTTACTTTCGCCACTAGAAAGCAGATTTACAGAGGAAAACTCACAGCAGCGATGATTCAGATCTGGGCAGCATGTCAATACAGCTCTGGCCTCTGGCAGGTGGAAAAGAGCAGCAGAGATGGATTTCTTGGGTTTCTTCTCATGTTTATGACTTGTAGGTGTTATTCACTGCAGTCAATCAATGTGAAACTATTACTTTCTTATACACTAAGTAAGGTGATGGGTGACTTCATTGCCAGTGAAGAATTGCTAGCCTCAGACTACTTGGAGGACATGACATCATAGGTCAAGGTGTTTCAGATATCCCAAAGTCACTTTACCCCCAATAAAGTAGTTTTCTCTAAACAGATTTTTTTCTATAGTAATTGATGGAGACAGGTCCTTGACAAGTAATCCTTTTAGATTTCCTGCCACAGAAGAAAATGCCCGTTAAGGAATGCCAAGCATTGCTCTCTGCTTTCTCACCAGATCACAAATGGAAAAGCATGACCTTCTGTTCCACTAAATTCAAGATGGCAGCATCCTTTAATGGCTCTTTGGTAACTGGGGATGTTGGTACCCTGTAGTACCTCTCACTGTGGGTGCTAGCAGGTCTCTATGGCAGCAGTGTCCTTTCCTCTGTGTACTGAAACACTTGATTTTGGGAATATTAAATTTGCCCAAAACATCTATCCCAGCTCCTGCTGTTGGCCACTGTTGTATCAGAGAGATTTATGCCTACCCAGACTCCATGTTGACTGGTTTGTTGGTTTATTTGTTGCTGGGAACAGAACCTAGCAACTTGTGCACACTAAGCATGCAGTCTGCCACAAAGCCATACCCCAGCTTAATGTTGGTTATTGGAAATGACTAGATGAAGGGTGGATACAGTGGTAAATGCTTGTGCTACCAGCTGAATGGTGGTTGAAATCAGAGGTAGTCTTGAGGCCATAAGTTTGGGATTAGCCTAGACAAGATAGCAAAACTCCATCTCAGAACAAAAAGTAGTATCAGAAAAAATTAACTGGACACCATACCTGTCTCCAATATACATCCTGGGCATACCATCCATATATTTTGTGTGCTCTTATGGGTCACCATTTTTTTTAATAACTGTTTTATTTGTGTGTATGTGGTGAGTGCATGTGCATATGTATGTGTGCATACCAGCAGAGACCAGAAGAGGGCCTAGGATCCCCTGTAGCTAGAGTTAATAGGTGGTTATGAGCTGTCCCATGTTGGATTTGGGACCTAACCACTGTCCCCTGCAAAAGCTCTACCACTGAGCCATCTCTCCAGCCCACCATTTTTATTCTTAATGCAATAACATGCTTCCTTTAAATTGGGCAGG